TCTTGCCCTTGTCTCTCTGATTGTACTTCTTTTTTCCAGTTATGGCAGGGTGTACACAGCCGACCCCTACCATGCCCTGGCCCCTGCCGCTAGCTATGGAGTTGGCGCTGTGGTAAGTATATACATACCTTTTTCATAAACGTTTTTACTCCTCCTAACCTTTACCTACAGACTATAAAAGATCTAGGGAAGTGAGTGTTCCAAAAACCTTAATGAATATAATTTTTAAGTTGCAGATGCCAAAAGATTCCTCTGCTATTCCTAAGCTTTTTGATAGAGAGTAGTAGGACTGCCAAATACATACTTTATGAAGATATGTATCAACAACAGTTGTGGCAAAATATGGTGTTTTTATGGAAATGTAGACATCCATACAGCTTGTCTTCAGTAGTCCCCTCTGAGAAGAACCCTCACTACCTAGTCTTACGTTGTCTTGGAGGCAAGCCTGCCATGCCAGTGACTAGGCTTTGCTGGTGACAACAGAGGATGCTCCACAGTGACACTGCTAATGCCAGGCACTCTCCAGTTCGACAACTGCCTATGAACATGGGCAGTTAGTCAAATGGGGGGGAGTATAAAAGTTATAAAAAAAACAACTGCCATTTCTCACTCAGAATTCCTACTGATGCAGGTTTGGGGAAGGAAGTAGAATCCTTAGGGACTGTATGTTTAGATTGAGATCAAGACAACAATATAAAGACAGTGAAGGTGATTCATGAGGGCCTATTGAGTGTCACATTATAAAACTATTCTAAAAGGATGACCCCGTGAGAGATACATTCCTGGAGAACCTTCTCATTCAAAGAGGTAAGCCATCAGATAGAGCCACTTAATGAAAGAAACAACATAATTGATACATGGTCCTTCCTGTCCTTGGGTTCCGCATCTATACATTCAGCTGAAATACAAAGGGGGAAAAGTTATGTCTTTAAGAATGTGGAGACTTTTCTTGTCTTTACGTTCTAAACAGTGTAGCACAACAGTTTACCTAGCATTTACAGTGTGTTGGATACTACAAGTAATCAAGAACTGGAGTGTCCACAGGTTTTGCTATCTGTGGGAAGTGCTAGGAAATTGATACCTCACAGATACTGAGGAACAACTGTATTTTACAGTGTCAGTTTTATTAGTTGAAAGGTTTATTGAGGTTTAACTATAGCATCATCTCAAATGCAGGATGGGAAGTAATGCATGCCTTTGACAGGTGAGGTGTGGGAAGGGGAAATCAGCAGTCTGTTCTCAGTCAGGATTATAATGATGTATCAAGGTTAACAAAGACTTTTGCTTGTAAAAACCACACTAATTGCAGAACCACTTAAACTGTCTTAAGTTTCCCTCCTGCACTGATTCATGTAAATCGTGAAGTAGCCATCATCACACTCCCCTGGAGACTATGGTGTAACCGCACGTGAGGCTATGGTCTGCGCATCAGAGGCAGAAGCTGGGACATAAGGCAGCCTCTGATCAGTTGCTTGGAGGTGTCAAAGGACACCTCCTCAGGACTTGTTTTCTTCATTTCAATTCTGCGCTCATCAGCCTTTTAATTACTTCTCTGTCTTTCATTGCTGCAGGCGAGTTTATACCGAGGTGGCTACAGCCGATTTGCCCCCTACTGAAGTGACGTGAGACCCTGCAAATGGGACCGCCCCCAGTCCTGAGGCCTGGCTATTGCAATATGTACTAGTAGAAGAACTCTATAGCAAGATGAAGAGGAAAACAAACAAACAAACAAAAACCACAAAAAAAGAGAGAATACTTTTTTATACCTCACTATGTTCTTTGAATATGTATTTTTCCTTTAAATTTTCTGCCTTTAATTCTTTTGTTCCAAAGATTGTGCATTTTTTCCTTTTTTTTTTTAACTGTGGTAAAAAGAAAAAAAAAAAAAAAAAGATAATGCATTTCCATGTCTGTATGTCCGTGCTTAGCTTATTCTATCAATCATGGAAGAGGCAGTTAATGAGGAAGGAGAAACTTTAGTGGCAGATGAAGACATTTGATCAGAAATCAGCAGACAGAATTACCAAAGTGTATGTGGTGCTGAGTGGCTGGGGGACAAGTAGGAGTGAAAGAAATCTTTCTGCAGCAGAATATTCTTCTAGTCTTCTGAATTTCTGGTCTTTGGCAGATGGTTCTGATTGGCTGTGGCTGGAATCTACATGCCAGTAGATAGGAGTTTGTGTTTGCAAAGCAAGAGAATTAAAAACACGTTTCCTCTCCTCTTCCCTTCTGTCTTCTCCGTAGTTTCTACAGTCACCTTAACATAGATAGCCCGAGACGATTGGCACAATTTTTGGTATTACAGCATTGATATTTCCAAACATGCTCTCAGGCTGAATAATAAACACCTCTTTAGGAAATCAATCTCAGAATGAATTTTGAAGGACAAAAACACTCGTTTCTTTTCTTTCTTGTAACCCTAGCATTCCTGCTGGGCTTCTGATCCCCTTTCATTGATCCACAGCTTAGCTCATGTGTTCTTTTAATGTGCTGTTCCTATGTCCTCAAGATTTAGAAATTTAGGACACAGGGACAGAAGAATGAACAGCTAGTGGCCAGATTTCCCCCAGGTATCTGGGCACAGCTTGAGGATTAAAAGTACAAGGTGTTAAAGGCCATTAGAGAGGCTGCAGAAGAGAAAGGGAATACTGGAAGGTCTGTATTCCTTATCTTGAATCAGAAATTAGTACAAACTATAAAAAAAAAAATCTTAGAAAGAATCTTTTGGGGAAAGATAAGGCACCAAGCCCAGGGGTTAGCTGTCCCTGGAAGTTTTGGTGGTGCGGACATGTGAGGGCAATCAGGGGCATTGGGTACTTGCTCCAAAGCCATAGGAATTTTCATCTTCCAGAGCCTCCATGAGTTACTTCTCCACCCAGTCTCCAGCCCTTGTGGCCATTGCACCCAGCTTCTCATTATCCTCCAAAGATGCCCAGCTGAGCACTTGGACTGCTTGGTATATGTTAATACTATAGGACCTTGCTCCAGAGCCCACACTGGGAGGAGGGTATGACGTGGCCAGGATCCTTCTGCAAGACCAGAGCAGTGAGTCACTGGTCTTGCTGTCTGGCTTAGGTTTTATGTTACCAAGGTCAGGGAGAAAGTGCTTCTCTTCCAACTCTTAGCTCTAACTGATTAAAATGAGCATCCTACAGCATTTCCTAAAAAAGGCATTAGGAAATAGGCAAGCATGGTCTGCTTGGCTCCCTGGTCAGTTCATATTGGTACTAGGGTGACCTTTCACCCAAGGGATAGCTGCTAAACGGAGTAATTCAGAGACATGGAGCTTCTGCTTTGTTAGGGGTTTGGTTTGGGTTTGGTTTTTACTCCTGCCTCCACACGTGTTTTTGACTGATAATGATTCATGTCCGTGAATTAAAATGGCTGATGTATGTATGACAGCATCAGGCTTTCTCTGTAAGCAGAGTGCTGTATCGGGGAGGGCCCTGGCCTGTTCTGTGTGATAACACCCCTCTCCCCTTCAGATCCTCTGTCCTGATACCCAAGGGAGAGGATGTGCTTGAAGTAAAGGGAAATGCCAAGGAAGCTAGAGGCCTCGATGCAATCATTGATCCTTGGGGGAATACACAGAACCAGGATGAGTCTGCCCAGTCCTTTGGCTGTTTATAGAGTCCCTTCCCCCAAGCCAAAGTTTGATTTTTGGTGTTAAGACAATTTTGGTTGTATATGTATATAAATATTTTAGGGAGGTGGATTAAGATGTGGAGCTTTTGCAGTTCTAGGGAATGGGGCCAGTGAGGATTTTTCTTTGTTTCTTTTGCTTTTATATTGAGGGAGAACTTTTACTAACTAAAGAAACAGAGAAATTCCCAGTCATGTCTAATAAAGCCTTTCCCACAAAATCGCAAATCACTGAACCCAGTGAAGACTAGGCCACAACCTTAATGGTTGTGTCCATAGCAGGGGAGAACAGGGGAATTGAGTTTAAGAATGTTTTTCTTCTTTTTTCCCAGACAGAATTAAGGATGATGGGTAAGGCAGAGAAGGTAGATTCCCATAGTCCTTCCCAAACGGGCAGATGCTGGAGCTTGAGGGACCTTTTGTGCTTTTCAGTTCAGCTGGTTCTGGCTGAAGCCTCCAAGGCAAGCTCTGCTTTCCAGTAGTTCTGCATCTCCCAGAATGCTTTTTAATGCCACTTCCTCCAGCTCCCTTTTCTAGGAAAGATTAAATGGGACTCTGCTTTTTTATCAAAAGGTATTTGTTTTCAGGGTCAATGCTGAGAATTGGGATTCTCCTGAGCATCCAGATTTTATGGTATCAACCTCCATATCATCTTTGAACTTTGAGATTCCTTACAGTCAACTTCACCAGAGGCAGGTTCCTCAGAGCAGCAATGCTAGTTGACTGATTCTTACTGAGTTCAGAAACAGTGTCAGGGGAGTCTGATATTTTGTGAATCTATTCAAGGATGCTGTTTGATATTTCCAAAAAAAACTTACTGATGCTGAATCACAGTACATGAATGAATTTGTTCAGCTTTACTGTACTTCATGACCTGGACTTTCTATACTGAGCACCTTACTCTTAGAAGCTGGGCTCCTTTAAGGAGACCTCTAGTGAAAACCCTTATCTGAATACTCCTCTTTCAACCCAGAGAGCTGCCCTTAGGACTTCTCCAGAATTCCATGTGTCACTTAGTCTAACTCTCATGAACTCAGATCCACCATGGTGATTCACCATTTTTAAGGCTCAGGCGTAACAAACCTATCACCATCATCTTCTAGCGGCTTCAGTCTGAATTGAGCCAATACATTTTCTTTCTTTTAAAAAAAGAAGCAGACTGGGGCTCAGCTTTTAGTTTAAGGGGAGCTCATGGCAATCTAGTCAGTAGAAATCAATAACAGCTTTTCCTCACATGTGGACTCCTCGGGGGCTGAACAGCTCCTAATTTAGTTTATCCTTCGCTAGAGATGTAGCAGATAAACCAGCTGTCGCCACCAACTTCTTGCTGGCCATGTAGCTTCCAGATATGAGGGACTGTCAGGCAGAGATGGAAGCAGCCCCGAGGATAAGATAACCCCCTTCCCTTTGGCAGGAGAATGAGGCGACCAAGAGACAGTCTGGAAAGCACTCAGCCATTTAAGGAAGGAGAGGGGAAGCTATCTGATGACCCTTCCCCTTTAGCCCAGTGCAGCCAGTTCTCTGCTGCTGCAACCCTCTAGCACAGTAACATTTGCAGAATTGTGGATTTTTTTCCCCCGCGGATATTAGGAGGAAAGGGATTTTAGGGTGGGGTGGGGAAGGGGTTGTGGTGTTTTAAAAGCATAAGTTACCTGTTTGCACTGTTTTAAGATAGGAAAAAATAGTGGGCAAGGTGAGCATCAAATGTAAGCTTGTGTGTTTTATTTTGTCATGCTCTTGAAAATGTCTGACATTTGTAGTATACACCAGTGACACTTGATTCTCTGTTGCATAAAACACTATATTTTTTTGGAAATATTCCTGTCCAAAAGCCTCTTCCCTCCCTTTCCTTTTCCTATGTACTTCATCCTTACTTTACTGATCAGCCAGGCAATAGCCATCCACAAGCTAGAGTGTGAAACAGGGCCCTTTCCAAGCAGGCTCCGGGTGTCCTAAGCTAGCATGTGTCCTCTGGGTTACTGAATATGGTAGAGTCCCTGGTACCTGTCTTTAAAACCAAGGCTCACAGGCCAGAGTGCAGCAAAGTGTCACTTTCCTCAGTGAGACACCAGGAGTTCAGCACCAAGGAATGGAGGGGTTCCTGAAGTATTGCAGTTGGCTGTAGTAGCCGAGTTCTTACCCACGTTACCGAAACTGTGGCCAGTTACAGTTTACTCAGGAAAACGGTAGCTCATTCAGCCATGGTAGTGCTGGTTGGCAGGGATTGGTAACTGAGAGAACTGCTTATCAGCCAAAACTCAAACCTTGCCTCTAAGGAGACCATCAGCACTGGGACCTGGTCCTCTGTCTGATAGTCACATACATGCCAGTGACAGTGATATGAGGGCTCCGCTCACTCTGGCAAGAAAAAGGGAGCAGCAATTCTCTTTTCTTCCCCAGCCCCTTCCCCTGTTAACACCACTGGATTCTCGGGGGGTGGGGGTACATAAGCTTTTGAAATTTTTCAAAAAATGTTTTTTGGCTTGGTTATTCTGGAAACTGATAAGTGCTTTAAACAATGTCTGCACTCCACCAAGACTCCAAGCTTAGTCTTTTTTTTTTTAATTTTATGTTCACAGTATTTGTGTGTGTGTGTGTGTGTGTGCGCGCGCACATGTGCTTGTTTTGGCAGCTCATTTTGGCTGATATATATCAAGTGATGAATTGATCTTTTCCCCCGCTGAGGGACATGCATTTTTTTTTTCGTGTGTTATCATTCTGCTTGTGAATAGCTGGAGCCAAGTCGGGGCTGACATATGTAAGCTAGGGCTGCAAAGTGAGAAGAGAGCCAGCAGAATTCACTTGTCCCTGACAGTCTGACTGACCTGAGGCTCTGAACTTTTCAGTCCCAATTTTTGCAAGGCTCAGAATGCCGCCGAACCTCTCCTCCTCCCCACCCCCATTGTGGGGACTGGGCCAACCCAACATGCAACTTGCAGTCTCTGGCCCCTCCCATTGCCGTGGCAGCACAGGTACCTTCGGGGCACAGGGGCATCCCACGGGATGCTTGTACAATTGACCACCTAGCCTTCTCTCCTCCCCATATTGTCCTCCCCCAGAATCACTTTCTAGGACACCCGAGCTGCTTGCCCAGGGTCCTGTTTCCCTGCTTACTCCAGAGAAACATCCCAGGGCTTTGTAACAGTCTCTGATTCCCTTCCCTTCTTGTTAAGAATCATATTGTATAGTAGCTTTCAGACCATACAGTATTCATTGGGTTACTCCTATTATTATCAAGTAGCTGGAATTGTGAAGGTCGGAGTAGTTAGATCTTTAGCTTTTATTCCTTATTTTTTTTTGTATTACTCTCCATGTGTATAAATTATTGATCATGTTGCTGGCTTTTATAAACTCTAAGCAAAGGAGGAGCACTGCCTCAGCCTTTGCCAATGGTAATGAAGCACTGTTTTTAAATAAAAGAGAGAAACACCATTCTTTGGCCTGTATGTACTGATCCTTATTCCCTGTCACCTCCACCTGGAGTTCAAAAGTGCATCTTGTATTTGACTTCTTAAAATGGGAAAGGAGGAAACCCACAGCATGCCCAAGAAGGACACTGAGTTACAGGCCGTGCAGTAGATGAGGCCAGCAGCCAGAGCTGTGTAGGAGCGCCCTCTGGCTCCTCCTGCAGAGCTCTCCCTGAGGTTTCCTTGCAGTTTAACCCCGCACTCTCCATCTCCTCTGGACTGCCTGCTGCCCCACTGTACCTCAGACATTGCACCAGCATCCATTGCCAGCTGTCCCTTTGCCCTCCTCCTCCCCAGACCTAGTGCAACTAGACATTGTTTTCGCTTTCCACAGGAAATGCACCTTGCTTGCCTGTTCTCACCTGTGCCGTTTCAGCCATCCCTTCACTGGTCTCTCAGCCAGTGTTTAATTCCCTCATGTCTGAAATTTCCATCATGTTCATTCTCCATAAATTTCCTAACTCCCTTCACTTAACCCATCATGCTTCCTATTTCATGGAGAAATGGGGGCCATCAGACAAGGCCTCTGAGTGAGGCTGAGTCCCTCACTTTCTCCTTTTCTCCTGTCTGAATGGGAGAGGCCTGCACTGCACTGCATGGTGAGCCCCATCCCTTTGTTCTGTACCCCACCCTCCCCCTTTCTCCGTCACAGTGCTTGGCCTCACTTCTTCAAGAGTTAAAACTTCCTTTCTAGAGTCCCTTGGGGCTTAAATCTTAAACTTTTTTCTAAAAAATGTGTCTTGCAAGATCCCAAGTTTCCTTTGTGACAAACTTCTGGAATAAATAGCCACATGCTAACTGCAATTACCTGTCCTGGCCTTGCTACATCCTGACTTTTGCCTCTGGTACCTAGAAGCAGCCCCTTGTGGTGGTGACGCTAACAGATCCTACTCAGTCCCCCTGCTTTGTGATGCATACTATCGAGACCCCTTTATTTGTCAGACCTCAGAAGCCTGAGGTAATGACCTCCACACTGCACACAGAACATGCTACCATGGCCTTTTCTGTCCCTCTCCTAGACTGGCTCCCTGCCACCTTTTCTCCAGAACCCCACTTTCTATAAGAGGTGCATTGCCTCAGCTAAAGTGTAGGCTCACTGCATGCATGGCATATCCAGCCCCAGGGCACTCAGTGGCACATGGATCTGACTGTGCTGCTGTTCCTGTCACTCGCTGTGCTGTGGGGAATAAAGCTCTGTTTCTGGCCCAGGTTTGTATCTTTCATAAGGACCCATGAAACAAAAAGAAGCTGATGTATTTGCTTCTAAGGAAGGCGAAAATATGTCTCGGACCTGACAGTATTGTTTGTGTCATATTAAAAGCTGAGAAGGAAACACAGATAGACTTAACCCAAATAGCGAAGCCAGGACAGGATCCAAACCCAAGCAGTGTGGCTGTCTAGTCTGTGCCCTTGACCTCAGCAGTTGTGTTTCTGGTGCTTCTCTGGGTGGACACCCCTTTGGGAACCCCAGCGCTGCCCCTCATCTGCAGCATCCTTTTCTGCCATCTCCCTCAAATCTTGCTATCTTCTGCAGCCCAGTTGTAGGTCTCTCTTCCTTAACTCCCAGAATGTCACTAATTTTTGACATCCATTTTTACCCTTAAAGCGGTAAGGTAGAAACAACAGAAATTTATTTCTTCCATTTCTGGAGCCTGGGTAGTCCAAGATCAAGGCGCTCAGACTGGTAAGGAGGACCTGTTTTGTAGTCCTCACCTGATGCAAGAGGCCAGCTGGTCCCCCAGATTCTCTTGTAAGTGCATTGATCCCATTCCTATGGCCCCACCTTCATGTCCTGGTTACCTCCCCAAAGTCCTACTGTGGTGAGGATTTCAATGTACAACTTTGGGGAGTGGGGCAGATATTCACACTCCAGCAGTTCCCTAGATCAGAAAATTTACAGTGGTTGGTGATAACTCTGTTAAAAAATAAACAGAAAACTGTTGTCTTGCTAGAGGGGGCTATGCTCCACCTTCGTCCTGGACAGGTGGCAATTCTGTTGCATTGTTCCCTTTTCCCGGGCTATGTGCTTGTTCAACCCCCATTCCTCACTCCTCTCCTACTCTCCTTCCTGTCCTGTTGCACAGGCTGTGCCTGAAGCCTTGGGTTACACGCTTCTCCTCCGAGAGAGCCCTAACCACAAGGGCTTCGTGAGCCCTCCCTGCCATGGTCTCCCTAACCAGCTTGACTCCCTTCACAGCACTCGCCACCCTGGAGTGTGTAAAGTGACTACAGTTTCACCTGGATTCTCCTAGAAGCAATATGACTGTATTTTCCCTTTCCTTGAAACACCATTTTCCAGACTCCTCTAGGTGGCACTTAAGGCCTCCACACAGTCAGGCCCCCTTGCATATTTGGTGTCTGTGTTCTTTGCCAGGCTCCAGGCCTGTGCTCCAGTCAGCCTGTGCTCTGCTGCTCTGGATGGGATCCTCCTCCACCTGCAAGGCATCACCCCTCGGGCCTCCTCTGCTCGTCAACCCTGTGTCCCCCAGACCAACTACTGGCTGTTCTGACCTCTTGTCGGGGGCGAGTGGGAGCCGGCCTCCACGGTGGACAGAAAGCCTCTGAACGTGATCGGTCTTTATCTAACACATGCTGTGCTCTTTATCCATTTTATTTGATTGGTTTGGACCCCTTCCACTCACATGATTCTTCTGGTTTGATGGGCTGTGACAGTGATATTTTTCTTTGGTTCAAGCTCTGCCCAGCCCTGACACATCCATATGGTCATCACATGAGTATTGATTTGCCACAAGCAGCCGTGTTATTAGTGCCATTTGGAAACGCCCTGGAAAAACTGAATTTTCTGTTAGATAATTGTGTACATGTCTTTTCCCCCAGCAGACTGAGCTTCCAGAGGGCCAAGATCCAGATTAATCATATCCAGCTTCCTAACACCTCTTGGGGAACCTGCCAGAGCTCCCCTCATATATGCCATGCTGAAGAAAATGCAAAGGACACAGGCTCGAACACAGCTGGGGAGATCATAGGGGCACAGCGTGCTTCTCAGGCGCAGCCACACACAACTCCCACAGATTTTATTTAGAACAACTTTAAATTCTACTTAGACATTTGAAAAACCAGGGTCTGAAAAGTGGCTCCTGGCCTCAGGCTTTCATTTCTCTGCCTCCCTGAGGAGTGCTTGGGGAGTCACCTGCCTCTCCATGCTCCCAAGCTGCCAGGGTGGTTGTGAGTACTGCTTGTCAGGTTTGAAAAAGAGGACCAGCTCCAGGGAGTCCCAGCCAGGCTTCTATTCCCTCGCAGCCACAGCCAAGTCTGCCAATCTGCCCACAGCTTCCCCATCTGTGGGATATCAGGAGAGAGAGATTAGGTGCTCTGTGGGGTTCTCCCCATACCATCATGCTGATTTGGTATCACTGATAACAACTCATTTGTCCAGGTGAAAATCAGCCCTAAATAAATGCTCAGCCCCAGAAGTGGGATGATCCGGCTACTCATTTCCTCCCCTCTGGAGCAAAGTTCTGTCTGCTTTCTGCACACACACACACACACACACACACACACACACACACACACAATGCCGTGGTGACGAAAGCTGGTGCCACCCAGAAGCTTGTTGAGAAAATGATGCCTCCATTTTGGAAATTATGAGTCCGAGCTCTCAACTGTATTGTGGAGGTTTGCACCCAGAGGTGCAAATCAGATTCCATTTATACATCCAGGCTGTGTATCCAACCAAGGTTGTGGGCTGTGGCTCTGCAGGACTAAGTGGGACCTATGGAATCTGGAGTCTATGAAGGGGCTTGAGTGGCGTGAATGTGCCCCCTAGTGGAAGCCAGCAGGCACAATGATGTGGAGTAGGGACAGACAAGCTCTGTGGCTGAGTGATGCCTCCCTGCAGGCTCATCACTGTCACAAAGGTGTCCCTGGTGCTGACGGTGATGTGGAGGGAAGTGGGCGCCCTCTGCACTTACCTCTCAGTTTTACTGCAAAAATAGTTTTGATTTTTTTTTTTTTCATGCAGGGAGGAGCAGCCCAGCTCTAGGAGGGCTCATGGAAATCTGCAAGAGTCAGGGGTCATGGTTCTGTGCCTCTCAGCCAGCTCACCCTTCTTGAAGACCTCTGTCCTCAGGTTATCTCTGCTCCATCTCCATGGCAGCTTTCTGTTGTCTGAGGGCAAAACTCAACTCCTTAGCCAGACACTGAAGGCACCTTCAGATTTTGGCCTCAAACCATCTTTCCAGGTTTAGAATTAATATCCTGAGCTAGCCTGAAAGGCCATAGGGAGCACCAGCATCGGGGCCTCCAGGAGAGGGGCCTGGTCTCTGTTCACCACTGCAGCCACAATTCAAAAGAGCAGGTATGTGTGTGCCCCCTGCTGGCCACGTAATTCCTCCCCTTTTCTCCTGTGGAGCCTTTCCCACCACCGGCTTTCCCTAGTCCAAAGGG